AGTCGGGCGCCTGTAGGGAAGTCGCGTCGCTCGTCGCGCTGGTGGCCGGCGGAACGGGGGCCACCACCCCGCTTAGAAAGTCGGGCGCGTTTAGTGTTAGGGTCGCTCGTGGTGGTTTTAGTCGGTAGGCTATGGGCGCGCGATGCCACGCTGAGGGTGGCTCAGGGGATTTCGGTCCTCTGAAGCGCCCCTCGTAACGGTGGTACGCGTGCGCGTAGAATCCGACACTCCCCCTCCCTTCCTCAGGGCGGGGGAGTCTTTCGAAGATTTCCACCACGTTAAAAAAAAAAAAAAAAAAGGTAGAGAATAATTTTTAATTCCTTTTAGCAATTACATTTCTATTAAGCGAGAAAGGTCAAGAAACATTTCGACTATTTTGCAACAACGTCGTAAAATTAATGCAATATAGCCGAAATGGCTTCTTAATTTTTCTTGCTTAATGGATGAAGTCACACTGCATTGTCACGAGTCTCAATGTGGCTCGAGACTCCTATTTGACCCGAAGGTGGAGATGGATTTTGCGGCCAGAGCAGCCTGAAAGAAAGTGGTAAGTGTAATTGATTTTTACGTACTATGTTACTTATGTCCAAAAATTTTCTATTTCTTCTGTTTTTACTTAATCGAATCGTTTATTTGAATATTTCAGAAAATAACGACGCTGAACGTGACATCGGAGCAGCGAGGGAATCCTGATGTGTAGCTGACATTCCGAGCAGCCTGAGAGGAGGAGGAGGCCTAGGGTAGGCATCGGGCATCAACGTACCAACACTTCTGGTAAGTGTTACTTTTTATTTTTTCTAAAAATATTATAGAATTCTTTTTTTCGTTTATCCTTGTTTAGTTGCTACATTATACCGTGTTTCGAAATATAAATTAGTAAAAAGAAATAATTTGAAAAATTTGATTCAAGTTGATTCTAACGTAGAGATCTTTTTTGGAGAAGTAATTTAAGAAAACATTAATCTGAATAATGAGATGTTAATAAGATGTTCGATGCGCGTGACAATTATTTAATCGATTCGATTATTTTTATGTTACAGAAAATATCCACGCTGGAAGGACCATCAGCTTCGCATCGAGGGAACACGATGGACATCTCGAGCAGCCTGAGAGGAGGTGGAGGCTTAGGAGAGGCATCGGGCATCGGCGTACTTAACACTTCTGGTAAGTGTTATTTTTTATTTTTTCTAAAAATATTATAGAATCTTTTTTTCGTTTGTTTTTATTTAGTTGCTACATTAAACCATGTTTTGGAATATAAATTAGTAAAAAAAAATAAATCGAAAAATTTGATTCAAGTTGATTCTAACGTAGAAAACATTAATCGGAATAACGAATAAGATGTTCGATGCGCGTGACACGTATTTAATCGATTCGATTATTTTTATGTTACAGAAAATATCCACGCGGGAAGGAGTATCTTCGCATCGAGGAAACAGTAACTGACATCCCGAGCAGCCTGAGAGGAGGCCTAGGAGGAGGAGGCCTAGGAGGTGGAGGCCTAGGAGGAAGCATCAGGCGCCGGCGGAGCAACATGCGGTAAATATAATTTATTTATACATATACACATATTATATCTTATACTGATGAGTCATTTACTTTTTAACCGGATAGTTATTCAGAAAATAAGAGTTAAAGAAAAATAGTTATTTTATTTTAGAAATTCTATAGAAGCTTATGTTCAATGGATAGAGTATTCTTAAGAAATTACAAAATTATTTCATTAAATTTGCTTAATAAACAATAATATAAAATTTAGTGTTTATATAGTAATCATTTTTTGAAATATTGCGACTGTCTCTCTCTCTTGCACCCTGCTTTAATTCGGATTCTACATTTCTTTGTTACAGAATCATCGTAGCGACGTTGCAGAATAACTCCGCTGTTGTGCTGAATGCAACACAGCAACACACGAAAAAGGCCGGGATGGCCTCTCTCAGGTTTCTCTCTGGTATTACGTAGCCACGTTCATTTTCCGACACTGCCGATAAATCATTCTACATTTGCAAACTGGCACGGACGCGCACCAAAATGATGTTTTATTGGCAGTGTCGGAAAAAGGAAAAGTGAGAGAGGAAGAGGAGGGCTAATAATATAAATATATAAAATAAATTAATATTTATCGATACATGTAAGATATAAATATTAAACTGATTCTCAACCAATTATCGGCCCCTCATCAATGATGTTCCAAAATTAAAGACAAAATCTATAATTACAGGATAATAAATTATTAGACATAAAATACATTTGAAGTACGTCAAGGTTTTAAAGTTTTTATTATATATATTTAGAAACTAATAATATGTATATTGCTGTGTATTAGTTATAAACATATCCCTTTCTAGATTTGTACATATAATATATATATCACTGCGATTATTTCTGCATCTTGTAAAAAGATATATATATATATAATAACTACTAACTGCATTTACTTTCATAAAGCTTAGTTTTAAATATATAAAACAGATTTATAATAGAAAACCCTACATAATATATGTATATTGTATAGGTATATGAGGTAAGATAAATGTACCTAAATATATATCGAAGAGGGTCTTTTAAGTACACTCAATAGTTACTTGTTATCTTATATAGAGAGATCCTTGTCTTAGTATTAATTACATAAAGAAAAGTTCGATATCTAAAAGATGTAATCAAACCATATATATAAAGTCATTATATTGAATGGATCATTTATGTGAAATTTTAATTAGAATCGCGTCTGCGTATGAGATCTTCCGTATTTCTATTAACTCCGCCATACGTTTGCATTCTCATTTGCAGCGGGCTTGTTTCGTCCTGCAATTAATAAAAATAATTAGTCAGATCAGAATTGATAGAAAAAATTTTTTTTATATGAAACACATTAAATTATGAAAATAAAATTTTAAAAATTATACAGTAGTATCATAAAATGTGTGAGAAATGTATATATAGAATTAACGTATCGTATACATTTAATGATGAATTATTATTAGTGCAAAATATAATGCGTTTATACAGTAACAATTATAACGATTACTATACAATTTTTTAAAAAAATGTTATAAACTTATTATTTATATTTATTTGATTAAGAAATATATACGTGAAATATGAAATTAATAATTAAATGAGTAAAATGGGATAAAATGGGATTATATTTCTATATTTTATGTGGAAAAATAAGTATATTATGTGAATAATATAAAAGCATGTATATGTGTATAATGCGTCTTAAACAATAAGATTATTACCTGGAATAGCTCAACAAAATTATAATGCCACGAAATAGAAATACAAAAGTAACTTATCGTAAGCAATCTGCGATAGCGGAATTTAAAATGCGTTTTACATAAACAACATTTTAATACAATACATATACGTCTATTGCAAAATAGTACTGGTATTATCTATTATTGCCAAATTCGTATACTTACAGTTACTCCGTAGTCAGTTAAAATTAAAGTAACTTTGATTTATTGCATGCAAAAGTTGCCAAGATATCTCTCTTTCTCCCTCTCTTCTCTCTACCCCTATCTACCTATATTTTCAATATTTATTTTAATATATACATACCAAAATTTAAGTGTTACAAGAAAAAATGGAATATTTATAATTGTGATGCCTGCATCAATTAATTAGGTACAGGAACTTTCACAGCTGTTTGTTTAAACTTTATATTTCCAAGAGATTCCGTACATTCCATGCGTGTAGATAATAATAGCAGGCATGTTGACACATATATAAATATACGCGATATATAAGACGAACATTTGATGATTCATATCTATTTGATGCAACCCACATTCCTTTCTTTCCTCAAAAGTCTCAAAGCTGATTGTTTCTTAAATTTTTCCTATTTTACTTATAATTATTTAATGTTTAGCATTAAATATTAATTGCTGTGATAAAACCGTGAACTTTTCTGTTAAAAGAAAAAAAAACCGAAATAAAATTAACGAAATAAAGTACTTAATTTTCTTTTTATACTTTAATCGCTGAAATTTACTGCAAATGTGCAATTCTTCTTTTTACATATCTAATTTGTTATAATCTCTTAGTTTATAACATTTAACATTTTTATATCCAACAACTTTGAAGATAATCACTGTTTTTTGTTCAACTTATAGAAGTAATTTATCGTCAGAACAGCGCGATTGAAAGACTGGTCAATAAGTCTAGGACACTTTGTACAGCCATGCTGAAACTTACGTGTACAGAAACTCTACCACAGCGATGAACAGCTGTAGAGATTAAATCGACTAAATGACTCGCTTAAACATTAATCACGAGTAGCCGGCCGTGAAAGGTGCTCGCTTTCTGACTTGAAGGATGATGCGCGGCTTATCCCACGATCGCGGTCACCGCGGCGGGAATGTCTTTTTCAGTGGTGTGAATGTAAATCAAGGACACAACATGATGCGTGATTCATAACTCAATAATTTATTTCTACTATACAGCATTTATCAGCGGAGCTGCCAAATGTGGCACTTTGCGTGATTAAAAAAAAAAAAAAAAACAATGACGGTGAGTTTTGTATAACATTTCTTACAGAAATCAATTCGTAATACAATTTCGACGTATGTTTGACGAATTTGTGTACATATATATGTATATTGTATAAGTGTAAATCGCTGAGAATTGGATCGCAGATTAATTATTCAAAAACTTTATAAGTCTTGTAATATAGTATGATCCCGTTTCAGTTTTTCAGTTTTATTATGTGCTATTTCTTAATGCGATCAAACGTGTAATTTATCATGTGCATATCATCATCTAAATAATTGATCGCGGCGATCAATCGAATCGACGCGTAATTCGTAATAATAGACGTTGATAACCTAACTTGTGCTAAACATAGATTTAATATTAAATAGAATATCAAACAAATCTTAACTTTAATTTTTGCTCAATTCTTTGATAAATCTCGAATTTACTTGCTCTTTATATATTTATAGTAACTTTCTAAGATTTTATTTTAAACATAGTAAAATAATTAAACTTGCAATTAATATTTTGAAACAAAAAACTTGTCCATTTTAAGTAAATAATAAATAACGTTTTTTCACAACTCGCGAATTATATTAAATGGTCCAGTATTTTAATTCGAGATTCCTGGTTGATCCAAGAATTGATTACTAAAAGTAAAATTAAGAATTCTGAGATATCGTGTATCACGCGCTTATTAACAACATTTGAATGCAATATATCATTCAAAAGATAAAAGAAATATCTTACATATAATACAAATATTATAGGAGCAACATATAGTTATAACAATCTTCGATTCAATTGAATAATTAAAATTTCGTTATCGAGATTTTTAAAGCTCTGCTCAAACCAAGATAACAACAATTAAAGTATCGGCACGTGTGTGTCCATATAGGAAATTTATATACATAATATGACGTGTAAATACAATTTTTCATAAAATAAATAAAATTTTATATATGCGGCTAGTCTTATCGTGTGATTTTCTATACCATTATTATTGAATAATGAATACTTTCAATTAAACTATAATATATTGCCAGTGTACACTTAATTAGAATTTTAAAGCACCATATACCATGTATATTTTACTACTTTAATTAAATACATTTCAGGATTAAGATTATGTATACATCTTCAATATTCGCGCATCGATTAATGCCGTAAAAAGTCATATAGAAAGTCGACCTATGGCAAGAATTCCTAAATATAAGAACCTACCTTCTATTAATCAATGTACCTATATATTTTGAAAAGTCTAGCAATAAATTGACCGAAATTGGAAGTAAATTAGTCTTCCTCGCAAAAATCAGATGGATTAAAAAAGATTAGAACAAATTTATTTCATAGATTGTGACAATTAGATTCCTAATTGTCGGAATTAGCGAATGGCTTCAATATTGAACTTCTTCTTATCTTCATTTGTCCATTTCATAATTATCGCGCGAAAAACAATTAAATTCTAGAAAAAAATTAATTCTTTATTTACTTTCATCATCAAAGAAATATAACATTATAATATATTATAGTAATATTAATATAATTTTTATTTAATACAATTCATTGTATAATATAATATTGTTATTTAAAACAATAAATATCTATTTCATTTATTATTATAAATTAAATTTTATGTCAAACTTTTTAAACAAATAAAATAAAAATTAAAAAATTATTAAAAATCAATACTCCTGATGCCGAAGTTTAAGTATTTATTGTCACATAAATAAAATTTATCTCATCTGGGCTTTAGTTTATCTATTATTCGCAGTCTTAAGATACATTGAATTATCTTGGGACGTTACAAAGTAAAGTCATGAGGAAAGTCATGTGATACTTTGTGGTGCTTTTACACTAGACAATGATTGGTGATAATTCACGTTAATTATCGTAGATAATCCGCGTTAAACCGTAACACGTTTATAGAGTGAGGTCGAGAACGATTTAAATCTTAAACATTATCGACATCTCTTTCCAAGTCTCTTTTACAATCCGAATGCACCGTCATGGCGATTCTACTACAATCTATCTACTTTGCAGATTAGGCCAATGTAAAACATAATGAGGAGATTTTTGCTGTTTGTAGAAAAACGGTCGTCTCCTCGATGTATATTCGAAATTTTTTTCAATATACCGAACACATTTTAATTGTCGCACAAAATAGACGAGCTATTAGAGTAATAAAACGAAGAGAATAATATAAATTGTAAGAAAAATATACATATATATTAATATAATACAAAATTGTACTTCCGATCATCGAGTTTCCAGTACTCATAAATAAAGGAATACTCATACAGAGAATGATCGGTCTACATTACGCTAAACGTAAAAGGATCAAAAGCACCGATCTATCTATTAAAAATAAATATGTCGCAATAAAAGAAAATAAATACATCTTTATCGTTATATATCTAAAACTCCGTAAATATCGACTATAAAAATAAGAGACATTCCTCTTCATTTCCATTCAATGCAAACTGATTCTTCGTAAGATATTCTGATCTTTCGCTAACCAGTCGCGAAAAACGTTACACAAACATAGGCTTCTAGAAACATACATCTATCCTTCGAGCGCTACTAAAAGCTAAGAGATAAAGCATAATAAAGTAAAAGAAAAATTATCACTCCTCGTTGCAACAAAAGTCACTGCGTTCCATATCAGACACGTTCGCATAATAGACCACACAAAGCTCAACGAAAAACAAACAGTATTTAGCAAGCCGTAGCTACATTGCACTCTAATTCTTTTTTCTTCTCTTTCTCATGATCCGTACAGCGATAACGAAACTCAAATAATTTGTATAACAATTAGAAAAAAATACGGCGAATATGCAATAGTTGGGAAACGAATTCCAAAATAGTAACATGATTTACTATTTTGGAATTAGAAAAGTATTTCCTGAAGGTCTTCTAAAGCTCTCTCTCTCGTCGAGAGCTAAAAACGTCTGAAGAAGAAACGCTGGAGAAGGCTACGTCGATAGACATGTCCGGACTATCTGAGATCTAATCTCATCTGATGTTTCATGAGAAATCCAGAGATCTTTTTAGCTTCTCGAGGACAACTAGAAGACAGTTACGGCCTTGTTGAGATCAGCAAGCGAAGAGCGAGCTCGTTATGTCAACAGTTGCGATTACCAGTACCATTATTCACCTGTATGCCGGTGACGCCAGTCTCTGCTTCGTAATCGGTAGTTCGATGCTTCTCTGTGGAGCAGTGTTTCTCCCTGTCCTCTTTGAAAAGATCTGCCACGCAGTGTGCCTAGGGAAACATTCATAAAAATCTCGATCGCTCTATTTTGCCTTGTTAAGTAAGTTTATATATGTACATCAATCAATCTGACAACATCACGATTAATTATATTTATATATTAAAGGGTATAACATCTGATCAGATTTTGATAGAAAAAAAATTATTTTAATCTTCAACCAGAGGAATATTGTTGACCAAGTGTTTATATTAATATTTTAAATTACTAAACATCTAAATATTTTAAAATTTTAACCACACAATTATCATATTATTTTCGAACATTAAATAATAATTATATATATATTCAAACATCTTTCATAATTCGTCCAATTATACGTATAAGATCTTAAGAGATTGATTTCAAGAGATTAATTTTTAAAGATAATATTATAAAATCATATAATAGGTTGGCCAATAAGTCCGAGTGCGGTTTTTACTTATAAATGTTACTTATAAATAACCGCACGGACTTATTGCGGCCAACCCAATACTTCAGAATTATTTTTTGCAATTAATCTTCTGCCATAGGAATATTGTATAATATGATCGACTTACCATCACTAAAGCGCTGATTATGCCGAGGATAGATCCAGCGAGCACGTCGCTCCAATGATGTTTATAATTGGAAATTCGTGTCATCGCGGTAAACCAGGCCATGAGCAAGCATAGAAGTTGAAGGAAGTGTCTAAGTAGTTTACTGCCCTTCCATTTCATTCTTAACTGTAGATACATCTAAATAATCCCAAATTCGATTATCCCAATGATCAATTAAAAACTTGATCGAATCACGCGACAGATAGTTTTAATTAAAGTTTCAATTAAACAGGAAAAATCAGCCGAAACATTTTCCTAAAAGCTATCTTGTTATTGATACAAAATAATAAAAATAACATACCATGTAAGTATAGATAAAACGCAAATAGAAAATTTCAGAGTGCAAAAAAAGAACTCAAACAATTTAACAAAATTCTACAATTCAATTAAATAATTCGCACTTTTACTTTATTCACTACAATTATTTTCGTTTATTATATGTTGATAAAATATAAAATCAAATAATTCAAATTTAATTTAATATTCGGAGTATAATTACTTTTATAATCACCAATATGATTATCGTATTGACTTAGCTTTGTCACGAAAGTGGATCGAACTGTAATCGAATGTAACGTAATCGATGCTTCACGTATTAAATTATGTAAATTGGTCCTTGGGGCCGGAGATTTTAAAAACCGTCCGCAGACTGACACGCTCGTATTAGGTCAGTTGAATGATTACGATCCGACTCGCACGAATTGTATAAATCAATGCAACACTTGCGTAACATGAGGATTACTTACCGCAAGATAGATCATGGTGTAGGCCGAGAAGGACGAGTGACCGGAGGGAAACGATAATCTGAAACGATCAATCGTGCTGCGTCAAATAAATCCCATTTATCGATCGGAGTATATTAGAAAGAGTGGAAAGAAATTTCTTCCTCTCCTTCGATCTCTTCTCACGATCCTCGCGTATGTACGCGCATGCATTCCTCCTTGCGCTCTCTCTCTCTCTCTCTCTCTCCTCCTCCTCCTCCTCCCCTCCCCCTATTAATTTTATCGCGATTAATTCCGAGGCGTATAGCGTGCCGATTACGATCGACGGGACGACGAAGAGCAGCGTACAGCCGCGAGCGACGGAGAATACGAAGAAGAGGAGGCCGAACCGCAAAAAACGGCAGAGAAAGGGCGGAAAGAAGACTCGATACTTATATCTCCCTCTCGCCCTCCATCTTTTCTCTGTTCCTCTCGAGAAACTTGCTCTTAAAAAAAATTTCGACGGCGCATTACATTAATTAGGACCTCGCTATTCGGCAGCGACTGTTGGTTTGAAACTGAAATTTATGACAGCTGTATCAAAACCCTTGGGTCACGCATAAGAGTGCGTGAAAGATTTTCAAGACTTGACAATATATTTACTTTTATTCTTCCAACAGTTACAAGATCAAATTTTCACCTTCCTTTAAATGATTTTCAGGAAAACTTTAAGGCGCTATTTTTCGACAGGATCTAATTTAAAATTATAAAAATCATTCTTCTACTATTATATTTTTTGACGAGTTTTGAGAAAATTTATTTTAAAAAGTCACGCATCCAAGATTTAACCAGATTGTAAGGGAATCTCTGTCAGAGAATTTTTCGTCGTTAAAATTAACATCTCGCGGAGATGTACTCTATATATATCTCTCAACACGCTAACATAAATTCAAGAACGTAACGATATTGGTAGAGTTACGTTTACCTTACGATATTGGTGGCAGCGAACGAAGAAAAAAGTTCTTTCGAAGTGTATTTCTGCGCACTTATGTACTCGTAAGTCTCAAGGAGCTAGACAACATTGGTAAATGATGGATCAATGAAAGATACTGCTCGCCCTTTTCGTTTATTCAAAGCTCCCTCTCTCCTCTCTCTCTCTCTCTAATTCTTTCACTTAGCGCGGTCCCTTCGCCTGCTACCGTGCGGAGAAAGACGACCGAGAGCTCGAACGCACCAAGGGATCATGAATGAATTCTCTGTGTGGCGTCGCCTCTTTATCGTCAAGATTCCTCAAATCTCTCTATATACATAAAACTGTCCCTGTGGCGGCCGGGCCACGCGAACCAAGAGCGGATGACCTGTGATACGGTCGAGTACGCGTGTACGTGGCACCAAAAGAGTACCGGCTTCGTTAGAACTTGTAACGCACAAACCGTCCCTTCTTTTTGTTCGCTTACACTTACACGATAACGTCCGCTTCATCTCCCCGTCTTCCTCGAGGGCGAGGAAGAAAGGAGGAAAACGACGAAAAAGAAGAAAGTCGAACACACATGACGTAAGCTCGTATAGCGCTACAGTATACAGTATACGCTACGCTGATCGCGACTCGCGACGTTTCGTGGACTCTGGAACCTTGGAGTCTGGAGACTATACTGCGAAGACGGAGACTACCGAATGCGCGGAGAGAATCGAGATCGATCCCCTATGTAGCTGTAGTTGTAGTTGTAGCTTTTCTTCTTGCATATTCGACGTCGCGAATCCGAGTTAGACTACTTTCACACGATTTCGACGTAACATCGGTGCTATGTGCGATCAACTTGAATACACACGTTCATGCGGACTAAAATGATGTTAAGAAGAATTTGGCGCAGCTGGGCACTGTGTATTCCATCTACTTGCCCCAGAGAATTTCAAAAGATCAATACAAGTTAAGCTTGTTGCGAATAAATGAAGAGTTAAGAATAAAAAAAAAAAATATATATATATATATATATACTAAAAGTGAAAAATTAAGTTTTCCAATATTAATTTTCTTAATTAAAAAAACGGCTAAAGCTAACAATAAATGTCGGCAGTCTTTCAGAAAAGAAGCAGGGGGGGTTTCGAGGAACGCTTCAACGCTTCTCCTTTCCAACCGTCTCTGTTCAGCATCCAACATCCGAATGTGATCCGTCACGTTAAATCAATTTCGCGAGTCGCGGGCGTTTATTTCTTACGCATTTCCTTCACTTCTAAAAGATAATGACGTAGGTAGATATGCGTTAGGACGTGTTGGTGGGCTCGGGGTTATTTCTAGTAATAAGCCGTATGTAATCCTTCGCACGTCTCCTCGAATTCACGCGTGTCTAAACGTCCTAAGTCCTAGGCGCGTCTCGCAAACCCCTTACTTTGAGCTCTTCGCACTTCGTCTTTGAGACTATCCCTTTTCGCATTTCGCGTTCACTGGCACGATAAATCGGAGGAAATTGCGGAAATAGCAAATGTACAAAAGGAAGAGTGACTGAGGCGCTTTTCAGAAACTCCGCCTTCGTTTCTGCTTTCATTGCAGTTTTGTAAAAAAAAAAAAAAAAACAACATATATGCTCAGCTTATTGTTAACTACTCCTCGCGAATGTCATCATGAAAAAATATTTATCGTATTTTTTATATAATACCTTAATCACAAAAGTTAATAGTGAATGACGATAGTATTTCATAAACTGTAAGAATTTCTAGAAATTCAATAAAAAATGTAAATCTCGTTAAACCTAGTTAAATATTGAAAGAATGTAAGATTTTTTCATCATTTATCATTGATTGTATTCACTTTCGCATTACGAGTTTTCGAATCGCCGATCGCTATTGTATGCTGGCGGCAATAAGCGGGATGCATATACGCGGATAATTCGGGCGTGTAATAGCATTTCCGTTAGCCAAGGGGAAGAGAGAAGAGAAGAGAAAGAATTGCACGATCTGGCATGAATCTCGTTCATGCGAATCGTGTCGGCAAAGCCCGCAGGCAAAGCGCTGCTCATTGTCATTCGCCATTCGCCATTCGCTACCGTGGCTCTTTTTTGTGTGCGCGTGTTCGTATCCGTTAAAACCGGCCTTCGGGGTATGTATGTATGTATATCCGGAATGCGCAAAAAGGTTTCCCTACCCGAGCAACAACAAAGCTCGCACACGTGAAATAATCAATTCAGAAAACGTTATGAAAGCTTGAATTTTATCCAAACTATAAATAATGCGTTAAATAACATCAGTGATGTTAGCAAATATTTTTTCAGATACAATTTTACAAGAAAATAAATTTCACTTTTTATTTGAATAATTCTTAATTAAAATTTAAGTTTACTTCAATTTTTTATAATCTTGAAAAACTCCCATCTTTCTGCAATATTAATGAGATAATTTAACACTATTTCAATTATATATTTTATCTTTAAAATATTTAAATTTTTGAGGTTTTTAAATCAAATTTTTCTCATAGAGCCTAATTATTATTTTTATAATATAAGCGGAGATTTTCTTAATTTTTCTATCCAGACAAATGTATTTTAATTTCAAAAATTTATATTTCTTATTCTTCTTTTGAAAGAATCAAATTTCTCAATGATATTTCATTTCATAGTTACCGCCTACAAAAAGAAATACACAAACGAATACTGCTATAATTAAAAAGAAAAATGCGTACAAATAACTCGAAAAGACATAAGCAGGATAAATGAACTCAAAAATCAATTCAAATGACAATCGCGACCGTCTTTCTTTCCGCCCCTTCTTTTTCCCTCGTAGGGAGTCCCCAAGGGAGTTTGCTCCCTTTTCGGTTAGACGCACCAGTGCGCACTCAGTGCACATTAAAGCCGTCGTACGCACAAATCAACGTAAAGTGTACGTTTAATATAAATGAGTCAAGTCACAACATTCTCAATATTCTTTCGTGTGCTATTTGGTAAAATATGTATTGGGCAATTTGGGCATTTGGTCAGTCAAAATATTTGCGCATTTTACTTTAAATATTAGAGATTAAATTAGTGTACAATGGCTTTAATGTGCACTGAATGTGCACTGGTGCGTCCAACCGAATTCGCTATCTTAGATTATCGCAAATTATCGTTTCGTCTCGTGTTCATAAACTTGTTTCGTACAAACGCAAAGTCCGTAGATCATTAATAAAGTAAAAATAATGAAATACGACGATTTCCCTTCTCGCTTCTTCGTTCAATCGCACGCCTCGCCTGTAATTGTTGGCGCAATTGTCACCGTCACGCGATCTAAGTGACAAGTTCAGGGTATTGCCCTGAAGATCCATCGATGCCGGCAGTCGGCTGGCTGCTGCCGACCGCATCGAGACCGAGAATAAAACTCCGAAAAATCTGCGATATTTGTATACCGAAACCATATATAAACGCTGGCCGTATCGCCTAACTCTGCACGATTAAGCTTTATCGATTTACCACGAGCAAGTTCACGTCACGATTCATATGTAGTCGCCGTGTAAAGAGGATACTTTCTCCCTGATCGATTATGTAACTTTAAAAGAAAGGAAAACTTTACCTCGGTAGCGGTTAATTGATGTTAATGAAGAAAATCGCGGACTATGTATATAGTAATATAAAAACTTATATTTCCATAAAAAGTAAAATATAAATATACTAAATATAGTAACAAATTTCGAGTAACTATTTGTCAAAAAATTATACGACGGATAGACACACTTCGAGATACGCGGGATTACGATCGAGAGACCAGATAACATTCGTGTTGCGGCAGATTAAGATACTCTATCTCCCTTTAAGCTGATGAGAAATTCAGAAATGTTTCTCGCAACAGATCTCTTACCTGACTTCCTTTAGCAACTTGGCCGAGATTCCTGATGCGGTACAGTGGAAATCCTCAATATATTTGTGTTGATACTCAGGCAAGTTGCAGTCAACATTGGGTACGCAGAGCTTCATGAAATGTGGCCGTAGCCGACCTATGCTGTACTTGGCGATGTCCGTAGTTAAAACGGTGCAGGCTGCACCAAAACCGAACACACCAACCTGCGAATGTTACGTTATTTTTTATAGTTAATTTACATTATTTTTATAGAGAGATACGAATTGATGAAAAATAAATCAACTTTTAATGTAACTTTTAATTAATAAAAATTGGAAAGTTAGGGAAGAAATCTGGATAAAAATTTAAATTAACTTTATATATGATTCTTTTAATTCATAAACATTTTTAAATAATACACAAATAACTTTTAAAATTAGTAAAACAAACCTTTTGATAAGCATTCCACAGCCATGGAGGTATGGTGTATCCAAAAAGCACATTCGCCGTGTGTCCAGAGAAATGCCTCCAGTGCAGATACTCCCCTATGATCATCTAAGATCAAAGAAGATCGAAATTGCTTAATCAAAGATTGCGTAATATCGAGCATCATTTATACAGTTCTTAATTTATTAATACGTTTGCGACGTTAAAAAATGTCCCGTTGCAATATTTTCCTAACATTGATTATATACATAAGTATTTGTGAATACTATAACTTATATGTATAACGAAAAATCTATATTTCACAATTGTCATAAATAATTTAAGAAAAGACCGACTTTAACTTCGTGGAAGAATCGCTACTCGGACATCTGACATGTTCCAAACAGATGTACGACATGTAATCTGATATAATCTTTTTTCAACATTTTATAAAACTTGGCATTTGTGTCAAGAGCATTTTGTGAAACTTCAGACCACGGGGAAATCTCGATCGAAAAGGTGTTACAGTTCGAGAGAGAGAAAGAGAGAGAGAGAGAGAGAGAAGAAACTCAACCCTCTTTCTCCTCCCTACATTCTACCGATTGGTCATATTTCTGACGAAAGCGAGTTAACTAGGCCAGATCCCGGATAAAGGTCTGCCGGGTGATACAGCGATACAGTACCCAAAGTTCACGAGGCATGCGTAAAATACGACGGTGAGCGCGCGGCCGTCCTTCTTTCTACCTGTTTCTACCTGAACCTGAACCCCTCCTTGATCCCGAGGGAACGTATCGTGTAGAGCGCGAGCAATCTGTTTTCCCTGCGAGTGTGAGTAGGGAGAGATAGATAATAAAGGTAGCCAGCTCCGCGAGAGACTCGACATTCTCGACAAGAACGAGGAAGGGGTGAACCCTTCTCGGATTGCTGCGCGTCCAGGTACAGGAATGCGTATATCTATAAAACGTATAAAACTGCACCAAGGAACGTCAAAGTAGAAGGTGCAAGAGAAATAATAAGAGAGATGCTGAATAGAGACAGCCCCAATGTCAAAAGAGAAAAAATGATGGATACAAATAAGCCATCGTAAAATCTATTTATTATGTGGTCAAAACGTCAGAAACGTCAGAAAATAATAAATTAGCCTTAAATCTTTTCACAATTGTTCAGATAGGTTTAAATACATATATATATATATATATATATATATATATATATACATATATATAATTTTAAACGTAAAATCGTACAATACATATATATATATCGTATATATATTCACCTATTTTAGTAGGATTCTCGATTGCATTTTTTTAAACAAATGTTTTCCACTTAACAGTTCTTGAGATTTTGTGCATTTCGCAAGATCGTATCTTGCGCGCAGATAAATGAGATTGCGTTAGACCTAGCTATAGACAGTTGGATTTTTCCCCGAAGGACTTGTCCATTCCGAGGAACTCTTTGAAATCGCAGAATGGATCTCACAACGTGTGCAACCCCACGTGCATGAAATAAGAGGGTTGAGATTTATTTCGGCTTTGATCACGACATATTCTCTCGCGCGCGATATAATCACTTGTCATTCTTTCCCAGCATAAAACACGCTTGCTTAACGAAGTAAAGACGATTGTGGAATCGGAGAAGGATTCTCTTTCATCTTCATACTTTCATACTGCTACGTAAATAAGCGTGACCATATCCCCCGAGAGAGAGAGAGAGAGAGAGAGAGAGAGAGAGAGTCAGACGCGGCATAATGTGGCGAAACTATTACTTAAATAGACGCTGTTTACCGTTCATTTTAGCAATTATATCTGCCAGATTTATAACGGCCACGCGAGAAAACGTTCATGAGGCGCGCGAGCAGAACATTACATGACTATAATCCGAGACTGATTAGATGTTCGTGTATCAAATTGCGAAAAATAAAAGATTGCTTCAGAATCACGGTAGTTCCAGAATTGTTTAACCGCTGAAAATAGCAAACATGAAAGATAATAAGATTAACACAATATAATTTTTTTCTTTAATTTCTTTAACTTCATATTTTCATATTGATTTCATTATCGTTCTAAGTATATCATTAATTTCATAATTATTATTCTCTTATTAAAAAAATTATTTAAGATTAAAACGTAATAGAATTTCTCTCTCTCTCTCTCTCTCTCTCTCTCTCTCTCTCTCTCTCTCTCTCTCTCTCTCTCTCTC